CGAGTCACCAATTTGTGTACTTCGACTCTATCTTCATATGTTACACAACGTCGACTCATTACGTCCAACAGATCCTTGGCCTTGTCCACGCGCCATCTGTTCAGGAGCATTATTGTGGACTTGATCGTATAGGCGGGGGCATTGAAAAATACTTCCAGAGAGGTGAATAGAGTGTCCGCATGGGAGATGTCTATGGTCCACATCAGCGACTGTACGAATAGAACCGGAACGTATAGAGTGAAGGCTACGACCAAACCAGTCCAAACTCTATAAAGTTGCTTTTTCATATAGCTGTATGACGTGGTCGAGCCCCAGCCCAAATTCCTAAGCATATAGTCCAGATATTTGTAGGCGTAACGCGAATCAAAGAGATTCTCTCCATCTGCTTCTCGAAGATATTTCAATTTCATTTTCCGCAAAACTTTTCACTCAAAGCTCAAGTTAATTGAAGGAATCTGAAGTGAATTAGCTTTTTATATACCTCTGTAGACATATTAATTATTCCCAACAGGTTTTCGATGTGAATGGAAATAAAAAAGTTTCTGATGTGCAAATATACACTATAAGCAAAGAAGCTCCAAGGTTTTTGGGTGGACTTTGTGAATTTATCATTTTAACTTTTTTTCAAAATTTGAAAATTCAAAATTTTAAAAATTCTAAAAATAAAATATAATATTCAAACAATGAAAATTTCATATCGAATCGATAAATATCGAATCTTAAAGCTTATACTATATAATATCGTATACCCAATCAATTGCGACACATATAGTCTTCAATCAATCAATCAAAAATATTGATCAAGAAAGTTATACATCATCTTATATATTCAATAAATTTAAAGTGAATTTAATGTTCGACTTAACAAAATGATATTTTTTTGCAACTCCCTAATATATAATTAGAAAGTTCGTTTGTCAAAGTCATGGAAAGAATATTTAATCTATGGCTGAGCAGCAAAGATATATTTTATTTTGCCTGAATGGGCGTCTCAGCAATTCTTAAAAAGAATATGGCTAAGTTCTCACAGTTAGAATCAAAGCTGAAACAATATCAGAATGGGACGAAAAATAGGAATAAAATTGCAGGGTTGCATTTAGGTGCTTAAAGCTTTGAAAGGTTCAAGCAGTTTTTTATTTCGATTATAAATGGCGCGAAAAGTTGAAACACAAGAAGTATTATATTTAAATTATGCGTTATTTGAGGTTAAAGCCACAGACCTTTTAATTCTTGGGACATTTTTGAAAACGACTTTAAGTTTTTAAGCTTATATCAAGGATTTCAGTCTGCTAGAGTCTATTTTTTGATCTGTATGACATGCATCAATCAATTAGTTAGTAAGGCAATCCTTACTTTGTCAATCATACCTCTAGTTAGGTAGTCACCTGTACCCAATCAATCAATAAATCAGTTGGTAAACAGCATCAGTCTATCAGTTTGTTAGTCAGTCTATCAGGTAACTCCCCTATTACGTAGAACGTATATATATATATATATTATAATATCCAAAATTGAATCTTCCTGTTTTCCAGTTTAGTTATTTATTGATCAAACAAAGTGCATTAAATATTTTTATAAACTAAAACCAATCTATATTTTTGTGCATTTAAATATAGATAATAATTCAAAGATATATATTTATTTCCGATTTTTAAAGCTCGACTCATTCGATAATTTATCGATCAAAGTTTTCGAATACGCTCATCTGTTGCACAAAGGTTGTCAAAGAAAATGCAAATTTTGCCACCTTTAAGAGAGAAAAAGGATCAATTCAGAATAATACTCTAAGATATATATCGAATAGCTAAACTCACTTGAATATTTACGTTCAGGCAAATGGGAAATACGCCGCCACCTAGAAATTGGATCGGCTGCTGTACTCTATGAATGAAGTATTTAAGAGCCGATGTGTAGGCGCCAGTCGCGCCAATCCAATTTGAATGAAATATGGTCATCGATAGGTGTTCACAGTCCTCAACTATCTGTTCGCAGATGTACGAAAATGGGAAAGTTTGAAACAAACTGGACACCATATAGATAGTGGTTGTAATGCCCGATACCAGATCAGCAAAAGTCACCAAATGAACCAACGAAGAAGCCATCACCAAGGATGCTGTGGCATACTGAACAAACAAGGCACGAGAGATGAGAGGACGCATGTTCTCGCAGTATCTGGAAGAATGAAAGATTGGAGAGAGGAATGTGGAAGATGGAAGATGGAAGATGGGAGATGGAAGATGGGAGATGGAATACGGAAGATGGAATATGGAATATGGAATATGGAATATGGAATATGGAATATGGAATATGGAATATGGAATATGGAATATGGAATATGGAATATGGAATATAGAATATGGAATATGGAATATGAAATATGGAATATGGAATATGGAATATGGAATATGGAATATAGAATATAGAATATGGAATATGGAATATGGAATATGGAATATGGAATATGAAATATGAAATATGGAATATGAAATATGGAATATGAAATATGGAATATGGAATATGGAATATGAAATATGAAATATGAAATATGAAATATGAAATATGAAATATGAAATATGAAATATGAAATATGAAATATGAAATATGAAATATGAAATATGAAATATGAAATATGAAATATGAAATATGAAATATGAAATATGAAATATGAAATATGAAATATGAAATATGAAATATGAAATATGAAATATGAAATATGAAATATGAAATATGGAATATGAAACATGGAATATGGAATATGGAATATGAAATATGAAACATGGAATATGTAGTATGGAATATGGAATATGGAATATGGAATATGGAATATGGAATATGGAATATGGAATGTGGAATATGGAATATGGAAGATGGGAGATGGAAGATGGAATATGCAATATGGAATATAAAAGATATACTCTATATACTATATAGACTGCATTTACTTCGTGAACGGGTAAGATCACTTGCAATTTCAGAAACTGCCCTCGTAAATACGTTATAGATAGTGTTCTATTCTATTGTAACTTACTCCACAATGAGCTGATGATCTTTGATGCATAGCACTAGCTCTTGATAGTTCTGATCCTCATTCATTTTGGGATCGTTTCGCAATCTTTCGACTCGTTCAATTAACCATTTGGTATAGGATCGCACTGTCAGGCCGAATATCAGAGGCGTAGCATCCATCACCATGAAGGCATGGATCGCGAATATCTGTAAGAAATATTCGCAAAGCGCTGCGATCCACAAGCTGAGAGTGTTCTCATGCCAGTCCACAAATGGATTATACAAATTCAGCGGCGGGAATCCCTGGGAGACGCTGTAGAATAGATTCAGCGAGGTGGGTATAGTGTATATAACACGATATATGCATGTTATGTAATTGCAGCTGGCGGCCAATTGATGAACCTTCACCCGATCTTCGTACGTAACGCAACGTTCGCTCATCACGTCCAATAGATCCTTGGCCTTATCGACGCGCCATCTATTGTGGAGCATTATGGCCGACTTGATCGTATAGGCGGGGGCATTGAAGAACACCTCGAGCGTTGTGAACAGCGTGTCGGCATGTGAGATGTCTATGGTCCACATCAGCGACTGTACGAATAGAACTGGAACGTATAGAGTGAAGGCAACGACCAGACCCGTGTACAATCTATATAGACGCCGATTTATGTAGCCACGCCCAGCTGTCGAGCCCCAGCCCATGTAGATCATAATGTCCTCGGCATATTTGAAGGCGTCTCGAGCTCTAAGCAGATTTTCTCCATCTGGTTCTCTTATGTATTCGAAAATCATTGTTGGACTGAAATTTCTCTATTCACAATATTCGCAATTCTATTCCCAACTGAATCAAGGCTCGTGATATATCTTTATTTATACAATTTTTCATTGACGAACCCTTTGCTAGAGAAAATTATGTTTTCAGCGTATAGAAAACCTGAGAAAACTTTTCTTCATTAGTTATTCTATAAACGGTACAACCTCATTTCTTATTAATGATTTGACAATTAAAAGTTAAGCTAATTATTTGGATATATTATATTTTCTCAGAAGTTCATATTAATTATAATTTGTTTTATTGATTTTCTGCCTTTGAATTTGAATTAGATGAGATATTTGTACACTGAGAGAAATGAACTTGTTAACATGTGTCGGTGGGAACAAACCGTACAAAACGATTAACGATAACTTCATTTAAAGCTCAGAAAGCTAGTTTGAGTCGAACTGGTTCCAAATTTAGTTCCAGAACCAAATTTCACAAACTGTACCTGCAAGCGAGTCAAATATACATACAAATGTCTATACATATGTATGTATGTGTGTGCATGCGTGCGTATGTGTTTGCATGTATTGTAACAGAAATAAAACCAAAGACAATATAACAATTATAAAGCATAAAAAATTTGTAGGCATTTGCCTTATCATAGCAGAAAATAAAGCGATTATAACTGTTATACGCGCAGAGCCAAAGTGTCATATAAATCAACACAGATGATTTTTAGCGCTTGCAGTGAGACCAACTCAAAGCAAATGCGTGTGGGTGGCTGTTACACACACAAACATGTAAATACTTACATATGTATATGAGTACATATTTAAAAACTGAATTTACACTAACACGCTGACCTTCAACATTATTTTGGCGGCAGTGGTAAAGACAGACGAACGAGCACAACAACAACAACAAAAATTGGCAAACGGCGTAAAGGAAGTGTGGCAAAAGCCAAAAATGCATATACACACACATTCGCATGCACATAAGTACATAAAAACATGTGCATTATGCATGCACGCACACACATACGTGCATAATCATATGGCTGCATTTGTGTGAGTGAGATTTTATAACATAAAATTGAAATTTGCTGCATGAAAACGAAATTTGCTGCAAAACGAACGGAGCGCTTGGTTTGATGGCGGCTACATTGACTTCGACTGCGACTGCGACAGCGACAGCGGCAGCAACTGCGTTGCGATTGTCGCAGTTGCAGTTGGGTTTGAGGCATGCGCGCGCATTGCAAATGTTAGGTCCCGGCCGTGCCGAGCATGCAACACAACTCCAACATAATGCTGACGTCGACGTTGGCAGCAGCTCCGTCGCTGCTGTCAGTCGGTTTTCAAGTGCAAGTCCAAGGGCAACTTCGTGCAATTGCAGCGGGAATGGAATGCGACGGCTGACGCTGCGTTGGCGTCGCTGCCTTCCAGAACCTGCTGTCTGGCCTGCGCTCCAGACCTTGAAAGCAACTTCGTGTTGCGTTCGCTTAACACTCCGTATATATGCAAGCATATGTATGTATATGGGTATATATACTCTCACTACCAACAGCATGCTCATTCGCGCACACACGCACACATATACAAACTCACTTGCCTACTTGCACTCTCTATTGCTTTTTGCATTCGTGTTGGTTTTGCACATTTTCTGTTTTATCGCCATTTCTATGGCTCTTTTTCGCAATACCAAGGACTGCACGAACTGCTGGCTGCTGATGGCTGATGGTTGCGACAATGAAGGCGCAGGATGAGGTGCGCGCTGTATAATGCTGGTTATTTTTTTTCGAGTGGGCAGCAAAAGCATAGAACAGGCCGCTGCCACTGTCGCTGCCTCTGCCTCTGCCGCCTGCTGCTGCTGTTGGTCTCTTCTTCTTTAGCTTCTGCTGTTTCTTTTTTTGCTCTTCGCTGTGCTGTCCAGTTTTTGACATTTCGCCCACTTTTTCCTGTTCTTCCGGTTTTTGTTTTGTCTGCTTTCCTGTTTTCGACCCATAATCCTGTCTCTGTCCGCCCGCCTGCCACGCTGCCCGTATGTCAACCAGCCTGCCAGCCTGCCTGCTTATGTAATGCCAAAAACGTGTTCTCTGCTTCGGGCTTTATCACAATGTTTTCTATGTACGAATCGAAATTTAATCAATTTTATCACTTGTTCTCTTCTTCGCTTTGTTCGGCGATTTTTTCATACGTAGAACGCGCAAAATAAAAGTTGAAGAGTGTGAATAAGCTGAAATATTTTTTTTATGTAACTGTTATACTCATGTAGATTCCATGCGTATACATCAGTTATACAATTTTATAAGTGTCATATAGGAATTAATAATGAAAACTTTTATAGGTATAATTGTATGTAATGTTGATTAAGTGATGAAAGATTTGTCGATTCTATTTTTAAGAAAATAATAATTTTTTAATTTAAAAAAAATAGTTTTTCAGTCATAGACAATTGTTAATAAATAATAGTTTAATTTCCAATAATAAAAAAATAAAGTCTTTTTACTGTTGTTAATTGTTAAAATGTTTTTGTTGGTGTAATGTTTCTGTTTTTTTCCATTTTTTTTTTTTTAAATAAATTGTTTAATTCATTTTTTTTTTAAATTTGAATTTTTATATTTTTATTTCTAGTATTATAATAAATGATGTACATTAGACAGAAGCTGATGTGATTGGATTTATCTTGTTATATATACAAATATTATATGAGAAAAGTGTGAAAAATGATCTATTTTAACATAAAAAAAACGAAGAGAAAAATTTAAAGAAATAGATGCATGCTGTATTATATCATATATATTTTATAACATATCATATATCATATACTATTATCATATATATATATCATACCATATTATATCATATCATATCATACCATATTATATCAGGTACAATCCACAGTATCCCAAGCGTTGGCCGCATAAAAGAATGCCCAATTCGTTTCCATGTAAACCCCAACTGAAATGTTTTTATATCATATCCCATTCTATGCTTTCAATTTGCAGACATATATACAATCATATATATATTTATGTATATCAGGAAATTTGAAACTGCGCGAGTTATTTGAACATGGTTTTCCGCTTGGCCATTATCTATGCCAACGCTATTCGCCTGCCCCAAAAAAATGGCTCGATAGAGCAGTTGCCAGCCGGGCAAAAAGAACGCGTCGTGGTGGCAAAATGTTAGCCAAAAGCCGCGGGCCATAAATAAACCTCAATCGCAGTAAACTCGCTCCAGCGACGGAGTCGCAGCTCGAGCCTAACTCAAACTCCAAGATCAAATGTGCGCATAAAGCATTCAACGCGGCAACAAAAGGGCTGCGGCCCCTCCCGCCTGCCGCTGCGGCAACTCCTACTGCCAGTTCGGGGCTGGCGGTCGCTCTCGCTGCGCAGACGCAGTTGCAGCAACCACCAAAGTCAGCAACTCCGCCTCGGCCATGCCGCCCGCCTGCCTGCGCCGTCAGTACGCAATACGCGTGTCGCTCTCTCGACAAATACCCAGCCCCGCGGCCCAAACTTGCCACATGCAACTTTCCACGTTCTTGATCGTGAATTTTCTATGCTACTGGGCCTTGAAACCTTGAAAATAACATAAAAAAAAGAAGAAATTGTTGTACACAGCAGCAGGCGGCAGGGTTTGGGTGTTGATGGGCCAGGCCGGGCCGGGGGGCGCAGTGGGTGTGGCTGGAGTTTGGCGCAGCAGCTTTGCCGCATTACGTCAGTGCCACATAAGCTGCAAGTAAAAGGGAAACTTCGACTCCATCCTATGCGGAGTTTTAATGTCACTCTGCCACAGCCACAGCCACAGCCACACAGAGGCATAGATACAAATACACAGATACAGATACAGACGCAAAGATACTTGAGTTACTTGCCAGGCATGCATGAGTGTGTATATATGCTTTGCTGTCGTTTTTCTTAGGCAGTTCTTTTTGCTGTGCACACTCCCCACGCCCCCTCGCCCCCTCGCCCCCAGCCACGCTCGCTTCACGCTTCCTCAACCTTTTCGCCTGCTTTTCTGCACATTTGTTTGGCTTCGTCGCGGAGTTTGGCCAAGACTTTGACTCTGGCTTGGCCGAGGTCGCGTCTGTGTGTGTGCGCGTTTGGGACAAGGTGTTTCATGTTGTTAATGGCCCTATGCGGTTTAACTGACCCGCCCCTTGCCCGTTTCCTGCTCAGCTTTTCATGCCTATCTGAGTCTGTTTGTGTGTTTGCTTTTCTTTCGTTTTTCCCGCATTTTCAGCAGCTTTTGCCAATTTGCGTTTTATTTTCCATACACAACAAAAAAGCGAAATCGAAATTATGGCCAAGCTGTTTCGTCCTGTTTGCAGCTACTGCGCAGCTCCATAACAGATTTTGCTTTCAGTTTTTTTTTATTGCTATTGCGGTCGCCTTAGTGAGTCATCACTGTGGTTAGAGTTGCCGCTTTGTTTGCCATAACTTGATTTGGCTGTGAATTAGGGAGTTGTTAGTGCGATGTCTATCTATAAGCTATATTATATATAGCCAGATGTGGGCTAAGCGCAAAGGGTAGTTTATAGATATAGACATTGACTAGGGAAATATATATGCTTGAGGTACTTATATGAAGAGCATAGTCTTTTGATGCAGTCCTATATAAATGTAGGCATATAAAATTTGTATAAAAAAGCTTGGGGCGATGAGCTGAAATTTTAAAATATTTTAGAAATATTTTGAAAGTGAAAAAGCTGCAAGGAAATGTAGCTAATAAAAGGAATTATGTTTTTAGATTAAAAAATATACACTGAGAAAAAATTGCGAACTAATGAGCTTTATGAAACTGCTTTTTAAAATACTTAATAAAAAACAATAGTTTAAAAGTGTTTAAAAAAAGTGTTTGAAAAAATTAAAAAGAAATAATAAAAAAAATATATAAGGAAATGGAAAATTTATAAAAAAATGCAAGGAAATGTAGCTAATAAAAAGAATTGTTTTAGATAAAAAAATATACATTGAGAAAATATTGCGAACTAATGAGCTTTTCAAAATACTTAATAAAAAAAAACAATA